ATATTCTTTTCTTTTACTTTCTCTTTCATTATGCATACACCTTCGTGCTGTTAAAAGACCTCTTCTTCCGCTTCCCTTTTCCGGTTTTGACACTATTAGATTTGCGTTGCATGTTACTGCTTTGATCAATTAATTTGAAAAAATCAGAGGCAAATTTTCTGGCAATGGAATTTTATGGCTTTTATTGTTTTGTCCTGTAGAAGTGGAAATGGAGTTTTCAAACCTGTCTGTAATCAAGTTTCGTGAGTGAAAGTGGTCACCAATCTTCGCTTCGAATGGTGAATTACATGTGTTTTTGGCTCATGCTCCTGTAGTGTGTTTTACTCTCCAATACCGAGGATTTTCCTTTTTATGTGTGGGGGTGGGGGGGGTTGGACATTTTGTATAGTTCATGTGCTTGGAGCTTCGTTTGAACTCAATTTCTAATTGCTACTTGTCACTAATAACCACTCGGCGGTACTTTGGTTCTCTTCGTTTCTCTATGGATTGTCGCGTTTACCCCTTACAACTCCGCATTCCATTTCCACAGATGCACGAAAATGTTTTTAAGTGCTGGTGATGCATCGTTCAGGATGGCATTGGTATTTGGCATAAACAACCATGTAGTAGTGCTCTTGCTATGAATTCTCTTTCTGTTGTTTCCATGATTTGATTGCCTGGCATGCCAAAATTAACTGTTTACTTTCTACAATTCTCTCCTTCCAGTATAGGTATGCTTATGTGCACATGGGTAGTTAAAATGGTTACTTGGATTAGTCTCCATTTGGCTCAATGAAGCCGTCTCAAATGCTGAGCTTTTTGCGCGCATGTAATTCTTCAGGGCATTGAAGATAGCTGTTGCCACGGCTATGTGATACCTCGATAGCTGGTCGAGTACCTTTTTCTTGCTTTAAGGATAGTCTTTAGTAAATATGCTTAAAAGGGTGTTTGTTGTTATGAGGAATAGTAATAGTAAATGAGGTTGTCTGTTGGCTACCAATGAATAATAAGTCAGTCATAGCTTTCAGTGGCCTGCAAATCTATTTGACAGGGAGGCAGGAAGACTGAGCAGGAGACCCAGATGTAAAGGCTTTGTCATTTTGGTGATAGAGTTCTTGAAGGCAATGGCTTTTGTGTTAAATAGACGAGAAGCTTGTTAAAGCGTAATAGGCTGAGATTGAAGTCAGGATTCCATGGCTTGAGGAAGCTTTGCTAAACTCATTTGACTTGCATTGTTGAATTAAACACCTCAATTTGCCCTTCCTGTATGGCAGGAGGATGTTTCTGAGCCTGTGATTTTTAATGAGCTTGGGACCCAAATTGAGTGGATGCCGTGATGGATAGCGTTATAATTTGTGCGATGAACAGGAACCCCCCCCCCCCCAAGAAAAAGTAGTGCCATGTGATGTGATGTCAATTACAGAACCTAAAATTATTTTTCTTAAATGGAAAACTGTGTGTGGCATTAAAAAAATTATTTTGCCAGAGCATTAAAAAAATAAACAGTTATAAGATCAATGATGAGAATTTGAGAAGAGGATGAAGACTTAAATTATCTGGTGGCTTTTAATTGTTAATGTTAACTTCTGTGAAATCTACCCCCACCCCTCGCCCCAAGTCATCATGTACTAAGAGAGAATTTAACAGTGTTTTAAGTATGTGAAAGAAGTTTGTTTATAAAGTTTTTCAAACACTCCCTAAAGGGTGAGGATATTATATGGAAATCATGATTGATTTATGAATAATAAAGCATTTGATGCGTCTCAAGTCTTTCAACTATGCTTACAGTTTTATTGAAAATCTGATGAAAAGGATCTGAATAATTGCCTGTGGTTGTTACAAATACGGTAAACCGGATTAAGTGGGTGCAAAGTTCAGTTTTTATAAATGGGATGTCATGGATTGGAGCACACTTGTAATATCAAGTTATTAGTGACTGTTCTTTTAATTAAAAGAATTATTAATTATTCCAGTTAAACCAGGTTTTTTTTTACAAGTGAAACCAAGTTTTTTTTTTGGCTACTAAAAACGTTCAGGTAAGTTAGATCTTAGGGACTCGTCAGGGTCAGAATATATCTTTTAACTCAAAGAGTGCTTACAGAGATATTTACAGATCGCTCACTAATAAAATTTTCACATCAGTAACGGGATTTAAACTTATAATTTTATAGGTTATGAGCTGATTTTTTATTAACTGAATCAGCCTGTCTATAAGTGAAATCAAGTTGAGTCAAAACAAAAAAAGCGAAAAAGACAAAGGGGGCCTAGGCTCAAGATTGGGAGTGTGAGCTGTGAACTAGTTGGGCTAGACCGGTTCCTGGTTCCAAAAAGCATCATTTTCTCTCTCTTTTTTTTCCAAAAAAAATTAATAATTTTGAGAAAGTGTTTGAATGTTACCTAATTCTTCGTTTTGTTTAACCAGAACCCAAAAAAAAAAAAAATCTTCGTTTGTAAAACATGTTACATATCAGGTCAGGATGTCAAACCCTCTTACCAAACCTGGAATAAGTATGATTCTAAACGGAAGCAATTGAGATGAAAATACATACTCCTCCGGTCCTTAATATAAGACCCATTTAACTAATTTGATTAGATTAAGAAAGTTAGGTAAGTTAGTTAATTATAAGAAAAATGATACATTTTTTCTAAAATACCATAATCATCTTTCTTAATACCCCCTCTTCTATTTGATTATGGTTGAGATAGTATCCATAGGGGTAATTTAGATAAAATTGATAAATATGATAAATGAGTCTTATATTTAGGATCAAAACCAACACGAGAATTGGGTCCTATATTAAGGATCGAAGGAGTATGAAACTTCCGATCCATTTCTCTTTTTGAAAAAAAAAAAAAAAAGCCCAGGGAAACAATTAAGCTTCAAGTTAGTACACTTCGAAGTTTCAGTGTACACGCCAATGTTTTCTTATTTTGATGCTTATGTCTGTGTTTTGGTATAGATATTTTACCAACACGTTGAAATAAATAATCATATATCTGAAATATCAAGAAATTAAACCCAAAAGAAATCTTTAAATTTTATTTCAAAACAACATTTTTTCATTTAATTTAACGTGACTTGTAGCTGGACCTAGTTTTAGATTAGATTAAAATAGAATGGTTGGGAAAAAGAAGATGAGATTAAAATGTGGTCAAAATATTTCAAGTGTGAAACCAATTTAGACGGTGAATCAAAGAATTACAGAGCGGAGCATGGAAGTTGGAAAAATCACGTCCTTGTTCCTTAGCAATAACAACAAGACACTTGTTACATGGTTCCAAGACAAACTTGTACCAACAATTTTTCTCCAAACATGTCTTCAATGACGAATGATGTGGTCATCATCACCAGGTGCGGCCACAAGGAATAATGTACTGTTTCCCTCACGCAAAGGCATCTCCCACTGGAAGGCCACTCAAGAAGTGACTTAAAAGAAAACAGTAACACATCAAAACGCCAAGAAAAATAATTGATGACATATTTGGAATAATTTAGAAACACATCCTCAATTATAATTTACAGAATGCGTGATAAATATATAAGAAAAATTTTATGTTAACTTACGTAAAATGTGTTTATAGGTATTTATAAACATAATTCTAAACAAATGATTTCAAGAGGGTTTGATTTAGCGGAAAATACTAGTTTCTCATCACATGATAAACCAATATTTAAATTTTAGTAATTGTAAAGATATATTATAAAAAATGACTAATTAGTTAATATAAGAAATAAATATGTTAGATTCTTAAATTTAAAATTGAAATCAACTTCTTAACTAATTCTTATATGGAGAGGAAAAAAGAGGTATAGATTGATGAAACGACTCAACAAGGCCTTTTATTTTTACTACTCCATTCGAACGGACCTTATTATAAGTATTCGTGTTTGATTGTTAATGTTATATAATTTGTTTAAAGTGTTAATCTTTTATTTAACTAATTATAAAATTTTTTTAACTGATTAAACAAACTTCTCTAAGTAACTTTTACAAAAGATAATTATCAAATTTTACAAAAGAAAAGCGCTGTCTATTACCTGAAACGCAAAATTTTTAGAAAAAAGTGTTAAAAAAAAATTAGATCTATATTAAGGTCACATCACTAAATGACACAAAGACAGCAGTACATGACGTTGAATCAAAATAAAAAAATAACATTAATTCATAATAAAAAAACCTAAAATGCAAATTATAATAAAAACATAAATTTTATTTTTTTACAATAATTTTAGTTTTTAATTCCAACAAAAGGACAACCCGTGTTATCATTCTCATTATTGTTATCATTCTATGGAATAATTATTCCATTGAGCATCCGCTCGTGAATAAGCAGAAGGGAAAGCAACTCTACCAATAAACAACAAAATATTATTTGAGCAAACGGTCCATTTTATTCTGATAGGTCAACACTCTCTCTGTTGTGCCACGAGCTCACAGTTGTCGATGCCTTTCCCCTATTCCCACTCCCACCTTGTGAACATTGAAGCTGATGTTATGCATGTGTTTGTGTATATATATATATCAGTTTCCAAGACAAGAACCCAGAAAGCAATCAGAGAAGAATTTGAGGAAGAAGTAATCCATCAGGAAACGTGACTAATAGCAACCATAAAAACAACAACATATCTGTGAAACTGATTGGAACTGGCAACGGCCCTTTTCATCTCAGGGCTGTGTGAAGCATTAGAACGTGGTGTTTAAATTAAACTATTCAATCAAAGCACCGCATATGAATGGGAGTTTGTGAAAAGGGGTTAAACAATATATATAAAGACACTTACGTAAGCTGTGAAAAATCTCGACTTCTTGTCTAATGAGAAAAAGATTAGAAGTTACACGTGAAGTTTTTTCTTCTAAAGTATTAAAGGTGGCCAAATGAGTCTCGGAATCTTGTTGGCACAGTCACGGGACGAAACTGCTTCTTTAGGACTGTATAAGAGCTAACCTCCGTTTCTTTGGAAGCTTACAAAAATACAATAACTCCCTTCCTTCCTTCCTTCTCTCTTCTCCTCATCTTCTACAGTCTCAAATTTCTCAACTTTCGAGTTTCGACAACGTCATGCCCAATAACTCCAACCCTCCTCCTTCTTCGTCTGTGATTTCATCTCTTGGGCATCATCATGATGAAATGCCTGACCGCAAATCCATATGGGTTCTTGTTTCAATCAACAAGTACATTCTTGAAGCCATAGAGAATGCAAGGAATGGCCTTAAACTGAGATGCAGCTCCAGATTGAGGATTCAAAAACAAGAGTTCTTTGAATTCTCAGAGCAGCAAGTCCTGTCAAATCTGTACTGGGGTATTGACGCCATTGAAGCTGCAATTCAGACTCAAGAGCCTGAAGAAAGGTCCTTTCGGCTTAGTAATACAGAACAGATGCTTCAGGTCCCAGTCATGCTTGATGAAGAAGGGGTTACAGCCTCAATTCCAAATCGTGACTTGGTGTGTTGCTCATACTTTTGCCTCTCAGTGGTTCAGAAACTTCAAGGAGATGAGTGGCAAGCAGCCCTGCATTTTTTGCAAGCAGTACTGGTTTCTCCGAAGCTTGTTTGTACAGAATTTGCACCAAAGCTTTGCGAGACCCTTTTCCCTCTGGAAGGAGGTGTCAGTACGAGCATGGAATCTGATTCTACAAAGAGTACCGAAGAGGAGATCAATACAGCCACAAGGGAGATGGCAAGGAAATACAAGGAATGTTTGATGTATTATCGGGTCATGTTTTATGCGGAGACTCCATGGTGGCGCAGGTATTGTAGAGAACAATCGGTACATTCCGTCTGAGATTAATCCTTTCTTCCTGTACCATAAAGCAACTTGTCTTTAAGCGTTAATGATTGGAAACTAAGAGAAGACCATAAATGTTTTTTGTTTTGTTGCCTTTTTCTGACATGCAAGAGATTTAGATTTAGCAGCGCCAAGTGTCTGTGCCAGCATAGACATTAATGTGCCCTCAGATATGAGTTGAAGAGAAAGAACTAAAATTGCAGCCTATCTTAACAAATTTCCCCTTTTTTTCGTCCACATAGGAAGATTCTTCCACTGCATTGGGCTTCATGGTTACCCATGAGCATTGCGAGTATACCTATGTGACTCAAAAACTAACATAGCTCCACAATCCTTGACTTCTATTAATGAACATTAAAATTCAAGATGTTGAACCCAAGTTTTTGACAGGATTGAGCCAAATATCAGCTGCGTATCTTCTAATTCAGTTCAAGATGCGTCTGGACTGCAACGTTGCAATATGGTAAGCCTTGTATTTATTTCCTTCATTAGCATGAATGAGTGACTTCAATTTTCACATACAGTGTAGTAAATGCCAAAGTGTTAAATGCATAATTTTTTTAACTTTGTGGCATCAATGCAATGCAGTATGATAAGGTGCATCCACTTGATATTCAAGAAGATGTTACAACTGTTATGACCGACAAGGTAAATGGATTAATGGATATTGCTAGAAGTAAAGATCATTGGAAAGCCTTATATCAGCTTCACAGGAAAAAACATAAAAGAATTTCAAGCATTGAGTGCTTCAAGGATATGTTGTTAGAAGCCCGGTCTAGCATCCCAACTTCTATAGATTCTTGCCATGAGGACTTAAGAGACAAAAGGGACTTGGTAATTATTTTTGAAGATTCATAGTTGACAAAAGAACTAGATATAATGTTTCTGCATATAAGCATGACAAATAGATCGGAATTTACGGGTGCATACTAACTCGTCTTTATTAAATCAGGTAAATTTTGATGACAGTAAATATCACATCAGAACTAGCATAACAAACGAAGATGATCCACCGGCAGAAACATCTGACTGGTTTGTCCCTCTAACAGATTCTTTCACATTCTCTAATTTTTCTCGTGTTTATCTTCTAGAATTTAATTTATAGACCTTTACAGGAAGCTATATCAATGCTCCGGTTGGCAACAAGAACCTCAAAATCCATTGCATGAACAGTTAGATCAAAGAAAGATGGTTAGCGTTGACTCAAGAAGATTCTCCACTTCCATGAAAGGCATTGCTTCAACCATCTCAAAGTACATAGATGGAGAAAGCAATTATAAGATTGATGATGAACTTATTGAAGAAGCTTTGCAGATCCAAAAATCACATCTCTCTGATCCAATAGCATTTATGTCTGCCCACAAACGCTGGATCAACCAAAGAAATTATGCAGAAAGTTCTGAAGGAAAATTGTTAAGATCATCAGACCTAGGAAGCTTGATGGAAGTAAGTTCACACTCCAGAAGATACTTCATCAGTGAACTATCAGGACCAACTGAAATGAAAAGTTCAGTTTTACATCATTCAGAAGCATTAGGAAATTGCGTTGAAGACTATACAGCAGATATTGCATCTTTTTATGAGTGTTTGTCTAATTCATCATGTAGCACGTATGGTTTCTTAAAGGATGTAATTTTGGATGAATTGCTATTTGCCATCTCTACCTCTAAAGAGGAAAGGGAAATAAGGGCGTCAGTTTCTATGCTGACAACTATTATTTCAAGGAACAAGTCAATCATAGAAGACATCAAGAAGAAAGGTTTGAAGTTGTATGATCTGGCAAGTGCTCTAAAACAAAATGTCCATGAGGCTGCAATTCTCATATATTTGATAAATCCATCTCCTATAGATATTAAAACACTGGAACTTTTACCAACTCTAATGGAGATTGTATGCAGTTCCCGTAGTTACAAGGGTAAGCCAGAGTCACTTCTGCTAACACCTCATGCAGCATCCCTGATGATCATTGAAGAACTAGTAACTTCATTTGATTATGCCACAAATAACATGCATCTGGCTGCTATCAGTTCTCCCCATGTTCTCAGTGGACTCCTTGAAGTTGCAAGAAACGATAATCTGAAAGAGGTTTTCTCTTTGATCATCATTCTTATAAAATGCATGCAGTTTGATTCACAGTGCAGAGAGTACCTATCACAATTCACTCCTCTTGCCCCTTTTATTCAACTCCTGAAGACAGACAGCAACCGTGCCAAACACATGGCACTCGAATTTCTTCACGAAATCCTCTGCATACCTCGGTATAACTACTTAACCATATTCCATTTTTGCATTCTATCTTAATTGTTATGTGGAATAGGGCATCAGTACGCTTCCTCCTATATTTCAATAGAATTGAGATAAATATCATGCATCACTAAAAGATTTGATGCGTATGTATTATGGTGGGAAAAGAATTCCCGGAACCATAAACAAAAACACTTCTGAGGTTGCTTCCGTGGTGATGGATTAATCTTGAATGGAGTCCCAAACAAGGTGTTAATATTCCAAGAACACACACACACACACATGCATATGAATGTGTTTGCTTTATCTTGTAATCTTTCATGCGGTTGCAAATTAAAACATAAAATTATCATGAGTCTAGTGTAAAACAGACCAATATCAGAGAGGCAGTGCACCCCATCTATTAGCTACAACAGAAATAATCATGCTTGGTTCATATATTCACTGTACACTTGGTCCTTGTCTCGGGAGAACATGGGAGAGCTTTCTGTGATTTAATTTTCCAATTTCTTTTCAGGTCTTCAGCTATTAGTCTGTTGCAGCGGATGCAAAAAGAAGGAGGTGCCAATGTTATTCAGATACTGATGCTGTGTCTCCATCAATTACAATCTGATCACCAACTCTTAGCTGCTAGCATATTGCTTCAGTTAGATGCATTGGTAAGTTTTGAAATGAGGAAAATTAATCGGCCATATATTCCATTCATGAAACTCTGTCAACGGAAAATAGCTAAGTCATTATATAATAGTTCTATGACAACTCAATTGATTTGAAGAAACTATACATGTCCAAATATGGTGTTTCTATTCTCCTATATTGAAAGTCTGCATAGTTAAGTATAGCTTTATTAAGCGATAACTTCATAATATTGTTTAACATTAACCCATAAACATTTTTAAATTCTTCCCAGGAAACTTAGGTTTTGATATATGAGCCTCAAAATGATTCAAACAAGTTAACTCATGAAAACTGATGAGTGATTACTTGATAAATAGAAGTCATACAACTAGATTTACTGAACTTCAGATGGACTTCAAACTAATAAAGAGAACAAAATAACATGCAGAACTCTACCAGCAAAAGTGAGTTCGGAGAGGAAGTAGTGCAGGTGCTGCTCAGGGGATTGGTCTCTCAAGAAAGCTCAGAGCAGATGTTATCTGCATCAATTCTATCAAATCTTGCTGGAACATATGGTTGGAACGGGGAATCATATACAGCAGCATGGTTGCTAAAAAAGACTGGTTTGACCTCTCCATATCCCCAGAATATGATAAGAAACTTCAACCGGTTGGATCAAAGCCTGCAGGTGAGCTGTCCAGAACAGTCATATTTGGGGAAGCTCAAACTATATAAATATTACAGGTTGTGTGCAGGAAATAATTTTGAAAATGAAGAAATTTCATAACATGCAGGATACAAGCACAAATTTATGGTGTAGTAAGATTGCCAAGTATATCATAAGCATTGGAGATTCAATCTTCCATGCTTTGGAGAAGGGGCTAAAAAGCAAAATAAAAAGACTTTCAAGAGACTGCCTTGTGACAATTGCATGGCTTGGATGTCAGATATCAAAAAGCCCAGACAGCGTAAGATATTCTGCATGCGAGATCTTGCTAAGTGAAATTGAGCAATTTTTACATCCGGGGATGGAGCTGGAAGATAGACTTTTAGCATGTCTGTGCATCTACAACTATGCCTCTGGCAAAGGTAATAACCCTTGCATGATAATATCAACAAACAACCTTCATACATTATTAACTTGTGTAACAAATTGGTCAAAAAAGAAACTTGCAAAACATAAATATTGAAGATCGATAGGACATCTGTGACAGCTTTATTTGTTCATTTATTTTATGTTTAAAACCAAAGGCATTGCTTTGCCTTTCCCGCCCAAATGGTACAACCTCCAGTGAGTATTAACTGAGAATTAAACTTAGCAAAAACATAATATCGTTGATTGTTTTTCCTCAACCCTGGTAAACAACATTGTTTGTAATGATCTTATACTCCATGATCTATAATGGTTCACCCTACTAAGTCAAATGGTCCTTTTCTTATAGGAATGCAAAAACTAATTCATTTCTCAGAAGGCGTGAAGGAATCATTACGACGCCTTTCAAATATAACCTGGATGGCTGAGGAATTGCATAGAGTAGCTGATTACTTGCTGCCAAACATATCAGTGAGTATTCACAAACATAATCGCAAGACTTGCATGCATTTCTAAATAAGAACTTACGAAGTTCTCCATGTGGTATTCATAAAAATTGATTTAGCAAAAGATCTGCACAATGTGCAGGAGATTATCATGCAGTGGCTATATATGGAAAAATGAACATAAAGATCTTTATGCCCCCTCTTCTTTTTCAATGCTTGTGTAAAAATAAATGATATCATGAGCTATTAATGATCTAAGGAGATTACCAACGTTCTTTAGTTTTTAGTAACTC